GAGACTCAGGAATTTTTGTTCCAAATTACTTGTGAAAAATATTTAACAGTTTAATTAATCTACTGGTCTTTATTCTCCAGTCTTCACTGGAGATTAAGAACAAGGTGATGCTTGCTGATGTATGGTGTGGTTCATGGGAATTTCAATTTTGCTGATGTCTCTCTCTAGGCAACTGTATTTGTCTTTCTTAAAATCCATTCTGGGCCTGCAGGAATACCATTCTTCAGACCTGAAATACTGTAGCAATCATAATCTCTTCCCAACACTGAGTCTACAATGTTCTCCCACAACTTCTATTTGTAGTCAAATAACTTAGGTAATTTAGATATGAGATTGTGGTACAGAAGTGCATTGTTCTGAGAGACTTGGGTTCTAGTTACAGGTATTGTTACTAACTAGCTAGTTGACTCCTGGCCTTGTAAATTAAAAGGATGGACTCATCTCTTCCAGTTGTTAGTACCAGAGTGTTATCTATAACTTGAGTGTCTTGACTTCCTATTTTCCTAAGCAAATTTGCAACTTCAGTAATAATGAAATGGGACCAGAGGTCATTTAGGGTTCAAAGTGGGTGCAAACTAAGGAGTGTTAAAAGGGTGCTTGTATAATTTATTCTACCAAACAGGATACTCTTAGGGAAAAGGAAGGATATTAATTACGTTATAATAACAGACTTAAACCAGGTCTTTCCTGGCCAAACCTGGATTTACTCTCACTCTATTAATGAGGTAAAGGAATTCCATTCCACAAAATTTTGCCAGAAATGTTATTACCAGAGTTAGAAACATTGTAGGAAATGTAGGGGCATTTCTATTTAAAATTATTTCCTCATAGATGCCCAGGGTTTAAGAATAACATTTTATTGGTAAGGGTATCTGAACCTTTGACCTTGATGTTATAAAACCATGCTCTAACCAACTGAGCTAACTGGACAGCCAAGAATAACATTTTAATGATATTGGAATATTGCTTAAAAAAATTGTACTGGTGTATAGTGTCTCACCAATGATGTTTGAAAATAGGATATATGTAGATCACACATTTGTTCATTTGTATTTATATATACTTGGAGCTATTAGTAGCTAAATTTGTTTCTTAGGTTTCATCTGTTTGAAAAAAAAATTTATGTATATATATATATATATATATATATATATATATGTATTTTTTTCTTTTGTCTGAGGGAGACTGGCAGCATTACTATTTATAGTTATAGCAGCAGTATTTGTTCAGTACATAAGATGAGTATAGATTTTTAAAATTTTAAAATTAAAAAAGTTTTTAATTTCTAGGTTGGTTTGTTTTTTCTGTCTTACATTTTCCCTAATGACATGCGGGGCAATTACCTCCATTTTAGTTAAAACCATGGGGAAATGAAAGATTTCCTTTCCTAGACTTGTTTTACCTGTAATCTATGTGTATATATAAAATTATATTTAAAACCTAGTGGGCTTCTTTCCATGTTAATACATACAGATTTTTCTTATTCCTAACAGTTTTGCATTATTTTGTATAGATACATCATATTTTAACTATACCATACTACTGAATGTAGAGGTTATTTAAATACAGTTATCAGCAAAGTTGCAGTGAACATCTTAATATAGACGTTTCTGAATCTTGTTTAAATTCCCAGATAATTTCCCAGAAATGGAATTGCTTTATTAAAAAGCATATACATTTTAGATGACAGATTACCCTTGGAAAAGAATACTATTTCATACTTTACCACCAGCGTGAGAGAAATGTCCATTTCTTTATAAGCTGACCAGCACTTGGCATTCTCTTTTTTTTGTCAATATGATAAGTGAAAAATGTTTCGTTTTAGCTTACATTTCTTTGTGAGTGTCATTGAATGTCATTTCATGTTTGGCCATTTGTATCTCTTTTTTGAATCATTTGTTCATCCTTTACTCAGATTTTTTTTTTAAGCTCATTATCCTTTTAATTGGAAAAAAAACTGGGTTGGTGGTAATCTAAGTGAGCAGTACAAAGGACTTACTTACACTAAACTTGGAATTAGACAGATTTATCTACCTAGTTGGTGCACAACTGCAAGTCCCCATTCTACCCGTGTTAAGTCTGCCCCTGTGAAGTTGGCAGCATGAAGGAGCAGACCAGAGTGCTTGCTTTTTGTCACCATTTTGCTTCCAAAGAAAAAAGAGAAAATGTGCTGGCTTTACAAGTTCCTTTTACTAAACTCATTAATTAGGAAATTTATTCCCTTTTCGTGGGAAGAATTGGGACAAGGTGAATAAGAGTGTTTAGGGAAAATCTTCCTCATGCAAAAGTAAGTTAACTGTGAGGGCCACTTAGTAACCAACGTTCAGAAATCACTCCATAATATGTTTCCTGTCCCAGAATGTGCAACTACATTGGTCAACGTAGTTCGTCAAATATTCTGTGATTAGGTTAAATTATATATTGATAAAATACACATAAACATCCCAGTTACAATATATGTATAAAGGTACTCCACTAATAAAACATCAGCATTATAGATACTCCACAGTTAACAGTAACCTTTTTCTCATTATATTTCCTGGGTAGGAATTAAATTTGAAAGATTAAAATTTAGACAAAAATTCAAATATATATATAATGTGTATTTTGGGGGCGGGGCAGCTGGCCTACACAGGGATCTGAACCCTTAACCTTGGTGTTACAACACCACGTTCTAACCAGCAGAACTAACTGGCCAGCCCCAAAATCCAAAATTTTTGAGTTCAAAAGAATTGACTGAAATAAAAATATCTTTTCCTAACAATTTTTTGGCAGTTGGCTGGTGTGGGGATCCAAACCCATGATCTTGGTGTTATGAGGCTGCGCTCTAACCAACTGAGCTCTGGCCAGCTCCCCGCTTTTATTTCTAAATGTCTGAAGAAATAAAGATCGATTTTTTCCCTCCCAGACTTCTTTACTACCTTAGTGAGAGGTTATTCTCAAAGTCTGAGTACCGTATGGGACATAATGGTACTTTTAATCAATAAAATCATTATTAACTTTCATGCTGTACATATTTTTCTCCAGTTTTTAAAACTTAATTATATCATTTAGTACTGAAATTAAAAAATTGATTTTTATGTGGTCAGGATAACTTTTTTATCTTTAATTTCTGACCATGGTTTCATGATTATAAATGTCTAATTGATTTGTAATAAAGATAAAACTTGTTTGGATAGCCTATCCCTTATTATTTTCCAATACATCAAATAGTTTGTATAAGGCTATATTACTTAATGGACAGGCCCTTGACTTAATCAGCAATATTTAGAGCATGTTTCCATGTTCTTTGAGGGAAAAGTCTCCCAGAAATTGTATACTGTAACTATTATACTATATATATAGTGTTTACATAGCGTATTTCAGTCATTCTAGATAATGTTCAGGCAACTATTGTTCTTTATTAGTAATTTAGGAAAGGCATGAGCTTCCATTTTTTTTTTGTCCTACTTGCCTATATTTTTTTTACTACTGAATCTAGTTTTTCTTAATGAAAATTTTATTCATATGGACATATGTGCCCATTATTTACATATGCACATGTACATATATGTTTACATGTACACATATATATATGTGTACCAAAAGTATAAAGGAGAATAAAAGGAATGCCTGTGTACTCACCATAGTATTTTAAAAATAGAATGTTGCAAGATTTAAGATTCCCTGTATGCCCATCCCTGATCACACCTTCACTCCTCATCTCTCTTCCTTTAATAAGTACGCTATATCTTAAATCTGCTTCTGCATTATAACTCAAAAATGGCTTTATTCTATAAATTGGTCATTGCCATGATTTATGGGATTCATGTTTTGCTGGATTATTTTGTTATGTGTAGATAAAGATCCCAAGTTTATTTTACTTTTTAATATTTACTTTATGTCATGTTTAGCTAGATGATCCTGCCATCCAGTCATCTTTATAGGTAATGAACCAAACCAAAGGGTGCAATGTATAAGCTTCTTCATTTGGAGACATTATATTGGTTTTTATTGTCAACCACAATGTTCTTATACAAGATAAGGACAAGTGGTGATGTAATTCTGGTCTTGTACAAACTCAGAGACCATTCTCTCTTTATGGCTTGATTCTAGGTACCACCTATTAGGGTTGCCAAACCTGTTTGTTTCCTAGGACAATTAGTTTGAAGTCTTCTGACCTATTTTCTGGATGCTCCTTGATGAATGTATTGTGTAGAAAAGTGTGTCCCATTGGAAACTGAGTTGCTAACTTTACTGTATTAAAACATTATATTTCTAATTTTCTCATGTTGTATTCTATTAATGAAAGGGTTGGTCAGTTCAGTATAAATAAACTTAATATTTTCTATTTAATGATTTGGACAGTGAAGGCGTGCGCGTGTGTGTGTGTTTTGTGGATGGCCATTATGATTTGGACAGTGAAGGCGTGTGTGTGTGTGTGTGTGTGTGTGTGTGTGTGTGTGTGTGTGTGTGTGTGTGTGTGTGTGTGTGTGTGTGTTTTGTGGATGGCCATTTTGGGATCTGAACCCGTGACCTTGGTGTTGTAAGGCTGCACTCCAAAGAACCAATCTAAATCTGTGTGTTAAATGAAGTTGATTTCTTGTTAGGAATTTGAGTCTCAGAACTTTGGATTTTGTTGGGAAGGATGACTACAGTGACTTACTGAAATTGGTTTAATAGCTATTTTGTTAAATATATCAAATTGAATGAAGTAGTTGTAAAAACAATTTTATGTATTTTCTTTTAGACCTCAGTTCCCCCAAAATTATAAAAGCTGGAAAACTCAAGACAAAGAAATCCAACAAGGTATGTTTTTACAGGAAATAGTTCTTAACTATATTAATTTTAAAAACTGTTGTTAGGAACTCTTCTTAGATTATTATAAGAGTATTTTTCTTCTAATTGTATCACTGATGTTAGTTTAAAATTAATATTCTAGAGAATTGTAGCTTTTGTCCAAATTTCCATATGCCTTTGTTATCATGTGTATTTTAATTTAGTTAAAGTTGTTAAATAGTGTCAGAAGTTTGTTCATAAGGCCAAAGCATTCTTATTTGAAAGCATTTTGTTGTTTCAAGAAATGTTTGGTTTAATTTGGCAAATGACTGCATAATTAAGTATACATGATTTTTTAAAATTGCTGTCACTTTTAGAAAATATTTTTTCTATTTGAAATTTCTAAAACTAATTTGCAGACGTAACACTTATTTATTACTTCTTAGGCTAGCGATTTCAGCGATATGGCGAATTGGCCAACACCAAGTGAATTAGTGAACACTGGAGTGAGTATTATTTTAAGGCTTTAAAAAAAAAAAGAAAGAAGATATTTTCATTTTAACATGCAGGATGTATTTTAGTTAAAATCTAAAGAATTGTCATATTGGGGGACAGATTTAAAGACTTAATTTATCAGCAAAATTACTTTTTCATTTAATTTGCAGTCATCCTTTGATGCTGCCAGTAGGGAGTATTAGTAATGAACTTGGTGTCTTAAGTTTTACCCATGATCAGCTTTACCTATTATTTCTGTAACAATGAGCACATATACAAATTATAATCAAAATTTTAAATTTTTATAAAATTATATACATCGATAAAGAGATACAGAAAACTTGGCAGCTACTCTTTTTATAGTTTTACCCACTTTTCAGATACCTGATTTCATTCATCACATTTCTCTCATCTGGTTGTATTCTTAGGAGGTAACCTTATGTTTGGGGGAGAGGAAATATACCTAGGTTTCTTCTCTCTGTAAGGCCTACAAATAAAGAGAATAATTTTTAATGTGTCTTATTGAAGCCTATTTTTTTATTCAAAATTTGTGCCATATGTGTATGTTTTCTTTGATTTATAATCTTATATGTTGAAATGCTAACTATATGTACACACATGCATGTATATACTATATGTGCATATATATCAAATGAAGAATGGATTTTTAATTTTAACTATGAAAGAAGCACTGAAAGATGGCTCTAAAATATCCTATCAAGGGGCTTTTTGGGTGGGTAGCCTATATGGTTATCTGGTTACATGTTTTTATTTGACACTGTTCCCTTGCTTATTGTAATTTGTGCAGTATTATTGGTGTGTACTTGTAGAAATATTAATTTAAACAATTTAATTAAGGTATAAATGACATAAATAAACTGTGCATACATAAAGTATACAATTTGATAAATCTTGACCTGTATGAACTGTATATGTGTTTCACCCATTATGAGAATGAACTTAGCCATTGCCCCCAAAAGTTTCCGCATATTCCTTTGTAAACTCCTCCCATTCACCCCCCACATCCCAGGCAACCGCTGATATGCTTTCTCTCACTATAAATTAATTTGCATTTTCCATAACTTTATATATGTGAAATCATACAGTAGGTATTTTTTTCCCTGACTTTCACGCAGCATTAATTATTTTGTGATTTATTCATGTAATTCATTCCTTTTCGTTGCTGAGTAATATTCCATTGTTATGGATGTAACAGTTTGTCCTTCACCTATTTTTGACAGACATGTGGATTGATTCTAGTTTTGGCTATTACAAATAAAACTGCTATATAAACATTTGTGTAGAAAATTTTGCAAGACTATATGCTTTCATTTTTCTTGGGTAAGTAACTAGGGTTAGAATGACTGGATCATATGATAGCTATTTGTTTAGTTTTGTAAGAAACTGCCAAACTTTACAATCCCACCAGCAGTGTATGAGAATTCCAGTTATTCCACGTCCTCACTAACTCTTAATATGGTCAGTTTGTAAAAATTTTAGCCATAGAATTAGAAATGAGTGTGTAGTGGTATTGCATTGTAGTTTTAATTTGCATTTCTCTAACGATGTTGAGCATCTTTTCACATATATCTGCCATCAGTATATTTTTTTGATAAAGTGTCTGATCAACTCTTGCCCATTTTTTAAAATAAGGAATTTTCTTATTACTCAAAAAGGAGTTTTGAGGCTCGTTGTGTATTTTTGATACAAATTCTTTATCATATACTTATCAAATACAAGGGTACTTCAAAAAGTTCATGGAAAGATTTATATTATCTTTTAATTCTATTTCTCCACAAACTTTTTGAAGCACCCCTGTATTTTCCCACAGTTTGTGGCTTGACTTTTCTCTTAAAAACATGTGACCGGTAACGGGATCGCAATCCTCGGTGTCACGCCCGTACCGCGACTGGCAACGGGATCGCAACCCTTGGTGTCGCGCCCGCACCACGCTCAACCAGTGAGTGGACCAGTCTCTACATGGGATCCGAACCCTCGGTGGGAGCTCTGCACTCTACTGAGTGCACCACCAGGCCGGCCCTTAACAGTGTCTTTTGAAAAGTTGTTTTTTATTTTTGATAAAAGTTATTTTGTCATTTGTTCTGCGGTAAGCACCTTATACAAATTTTTTGATAAGTTAGTGAAAATGATAATGAAAATTGCTTCACTCAGAAAACCTTTTTTCAGTGTCAAAGTGTCATCAGCCAAGGAAATAAGAAGTCGCAAAACAGAAAAGAAAAAGAAGAGAAGTTTGAAAAGAGAAGTAACAGTGAGAGCAAAGAAAACCGGGAAAGAAAATTAGATGGTCCTGGCGAAAATGTCAGTGAGGATGAGGCTCAGTCAAGTAATCAACGTAAGAGAGGTCAGTTTATCTATATCTTCATTTAGATTTTAAGTTTTTGAAGAAGGTTGTAGTAATGAAGAATTGGATTTAAACAATAGATTCCTGGTAGTCCTCAGTGTGTATTTTGTATTTCTTCAGAGTAAACTATCTGCAATGATAACTGATTTGCTTTTGTAACATTTCTGAACTATTGGACTTTCCTTTTTGCACTAAATTTGTATTTTGTGCTAGAAAATGGAATGAAGTTCCATATAGAGATATGGTTGTAGATATATTCTTGTAAAGTTGTATAATTATTCTTCTTTTGCATTGCGAAAATTAAATACTTGATTTTTCTAAGAGGAAATAAAACTGAGAACAATTTTAGGTGACTTTTTTCCTTCATAGCATTCCCCCTAAAAATTACACTTTGAAGAAAAAAATATTGTCTTCACATTCTTTTGTATTTTCTTTTCTGAACTTTTCATGTGTTTAAGGACAGATTATGATTTATCTGTTGTGTAAAAGCATATTCTCAGTCAGTGTTCTGAGCCTTGTTAAAAGTGTCTTCAGGGGCCTCTAAGCAAAAAGGGCTTTAAACTTTCAGAAGGTCAATGGCTAAAGCAAGGTGAGTTTTGGGGAGAGTAGCAGGAAATGGGGTTGGAGACATAGGCAAGGTCCATGGTATGCAGGGCCTTGGTAATTTGGAATTAGGATTTTATTTTGAGTGCCATGGGAAGCCATTGAAGCTTTTGATCTACAGGTGATATGGCATGGGAGGGAACACTTAATGGTATAGCAGTTGCTAGCCAACTTCTTTAGTACTAGAACTAACTGTCTACCATATACTGAGCACTTACTTGAACAGTTTGTCTTTTTAGTGAATATCTAATCTTTAGCTGCAGGATAAGCTTTAGGCTCACTTGATATAATGAGGAAAGGCTAACTGCTCAGAAGTTGTGGCAACAGGACAGCCAAGTGGTTATTAGAAAAAATTCTCCCCGTTTCTTTTTTTTTCTTTTAAACAGAATTTATTTTTTTTTTCAGTGGCTGGCCAGTACAGGGATCCGAAGCCTTGACCTCGGTATTAAGAAGATCTAATGTCCATTTTATTTTATTTTTTTGGTGGCTGGCCAGTGTAGGGATCAAACTCTGGACCGTGGTGTTATCGGCACCACACTGTAACCAACTGACCTAACTGGCAAGCTCTCTCCTCATTTCTTTTTTTTTTTTTTTTTTTTGTCTTTTTCCGTGTCCGGCAACAGATCGCAACCCTCAGTGTTGCCCCCGT